GGGGGGGAGAAAAAAGGAGACCGTCTGGCGGGGTGAGTTTTTCAGGGACGATAATTGTACGTCATTAGGTAAACCGTCCCCAACGTGTGCACAATAACACGGACGATGTCGGCGTGGCAGCAGCATCAGCAGCATCGTCGTCATCGTCGTCGTCGTCGTCGTGTCGTCGGCGCGAAAACGCGAGGGAGAGAAGAGAGGTACGTTAGAGTTGAACGATATCAGGTCTCATTGTTCCGCGCGACTTCGAGTCTCTTTGTCTCTTTCGTTTCGAAATGCCAGCGCGGGAGAGGCCGGAGAAGGACGGAGAAAGCAAACGAGAGAGCCACGGTCTCCCGACGACACTTGGAACTTGCCAGTTTACCAGTGTCGGCGAGGGTGACACCCGGTCGTCCCCCTGCCACCCCCCTCCTTGTTTCCCCTCGGCAAAAGGACACGAGCGATGAATGCTACGATGCAACGCGCGGGGATCTTGCATTACGAAAGTCTCGGTTTACACGTCGCTACTTAACCCATTATCGCGCACGTTTCGCGCGATGAAATTCGAAGCTTGCGCCGCGAAGGGAAAAATGGAGGAAGGCTCTTCGTTACTCGTTCGTACTCTTTTAGAGCAACACTTCTGGTAACGGGATATACCCGTATTTGTGTTTGAAAGCGCTCCCGCCTCTTTATTTAAAAAACGCACGCGTTTCTCATTAATGTACAATGTACTTTCGGGAGTGCAGTATTATTATTAACTGCGTCTGTACTGATCATGAGTACTCGTTCAAGCAAATTTTAAATAAAAGACAACGAGACGTCTTGTAGAAAGGTATACGAACTATACCAAACATGTCGTTTGACAAACTGCGAAAAAGCTAACTCGAAAACAAGTCGAACATGCAGATGAGTAGACATTTACATTTAAATACTGATTTATGTATCACAAAACTTTTTTACCAAGTTTATTCTTCAGGGAAAATATTGAATTTAAAACGTCAGTGTCAAAATATTTTACAAAAGTGAAATTTTAGTCCTTGTTCTCTCTGCTTGTTTTTATTTATGCGATAATCCAAAAAATAATTGCACATTTAGAAGAAAAAAAAAAAGAATAACCGAGATCTCGATGGCACGTGCTTTAAGAATAGATCCTCGTTACTCCCGCGCATTTCGGTTATCCTTGTACAACTGTTGCACGCCTGTTACAATTCATTATCGCGGGTACCGCGTACCTCTCTGCGGAGAACGCGAGAGGTCGGCACGGCACGCGCTCGCAATTACTTACGTCACGTCGCTTTTGTTTCGGAGCGGCGCGGCTTCCCGCGTGTAAGTTACCTAGGCGAGGTTGCATCAAATTTTAACCTCCGTTGTGCTCCGCCGTTTCCACCGTCTTCGCGTCTCCGCGCGCGCGCGCGCGCAAGGAAAACATTTTACCGACTTTCTCCGACGTTTCACAAAAGACACGACGTTGTACACCGAGGTCCCCTCCCTCCTCTCCCCGCCCCCTTTCGCTTAAACGTACCGCGCGCGCACCGTTAATTTGGCCCCGAGTGTCGCGCGAGTGTTCTCTCGTTTCAGAAAGACAATAATGAATTGAGCGTCAGCCCGAGCGCGAAACTTTATTCTTTCCTTCGTGCGTTAATCAAGTACTCTCGTTAGGTATAAAATACATTCATAATCAATTCATCGCGCGCATCGCAGCGTGCTCTTTATATTGCACCGTACTTATTACCGCTAGAAAAATTACTTTCTTCTCATCTCTTCTAAACGTTTTGATTATCGCTCTGTGTAGACTTTTTAGATCCTCTTCTACGCTGCATTGTTTTATATTATTTATATATTATATTTTATATTTTATTTATATAATATATTTTATATTTTGTTTATATAGTATATTTTATATTTTATACACATATATAAAAGGAAAATACTCCTTGAATATGATTAAGAATTTGTACATGTATAAGTTTTGAGTTAGACTAAATTATCTGATTAGTTGAGTAATACAGTAGGTCGATAGGTGAAAGGTGATTCCAGTCGGCGCGTATGGACACGGTCGCTTCAAGTTCAAGATCGAATTACGATGCAGACTAGACAGGCGATTGCCTGAGGCGTCAAAACAGGTCTGCTTTACCCTAATTGTTATCTCTCAGGACGCTATAACACGCTAGTTTATATATTGACCAGACTCATTTTACTTTTCCGCTGAATTGAAATACTCTAGATGATTGTAACTTAATCGAAGATCCGGGCCTCTGCGGATTGACGATAACATCTCGGATGTTATGATTTTGCCGTGCATTTTGTACGCGAACGCGTATTTATAACACCACACGCGGGAGCGAAGCGTCATCCGCCTTTCTCGTTCATCGTAACGTTCCTCCGATATGAACTCGAGCATGACAAAACGGTCGCTCAAAACTTCCTGCATACGATACTTTCGCGCACGGCAGAACCGACGACAGTTCCGATTACGTTCGGATGCGATCCAAATCATACCTACCTGATTTTTCACGTTCTTTCCTTTTTTTTTACATCTGCGAGAACGTCCCGCAGATTTGCCAATTTATCGCCGTAAATATATCGTGTAAAG